AGCTCAAGTAAGTACTGAAGCCACGTTCTTTTCACATACGTTTTAGAACCTTCGTTGATATGTTCAGCTCAAGTAAGTAGAGCAGCCACGTTCTTTTCACATACGTTTTAGAACGTTCGTCGTTATGTTTAGCTCAAGTAAGTACTAAAGCCACGTTCTTTTCACATACGTTTTAGAACCTTCATCGCTGTGTTGAGCTCAAGTAAGTAGTGAAGCCACATTCTTTACACATAGGTTTTAAAACCTTCGTAGTTATGTTGAGCTCAAGTAAGTGGTGTAACCACGTTCTTTTCACATACGTTTTAGAACTTTCGTCGTTATGTTGAGCTCAAGTAAGTAGTGAAGCCACATTCTTTACACATAGGTTTTAAAACCTTCGTTGTTATGTTTAGCTGAAGTAGGTAGTGAAGCCACATTCTGTACACATACGTTTTAGAACCTTCGTCTTTATGTTGAGCTCAAGTAAGTAGTAAAGCCACATTATTTACACATACGTTTTAGAACCTTCGTCGTTATGTTGAGCTCAAGGAAGTAGTGAAGCCACGTTCTTTACACATACGTTTTAGAACCTTCGTCATTTTGTTGAGATTAAGTAAGTAGTGAAGCTACGTTCTTTTCACATATGTGTTAGAACCTTCGTCGTTATGTTCAGCTCAAGTAAGTAGTGAAGCCACATTCTTTACACATACGTTTTAGAACCTTCGTCGTTGTGTTCAGCTCAAGTAAGTAGTGAAGCCACATTCTTTACACATACGTTTTAGAACCTTCGTCGTTATGTTGAGCTCAAGTAAGTGGTGTAACCACGTTCTTTTCACATACGTTTTAGAACCTTTGTCGTTATGTTGAGCTCAAGTAAGTAGTGAAGCCACATTCTTTACACATACGTTTTAGGGCCTTCGTCGGTATGTTGAGCTCAGGTAAGTAGTAAAGCCACGTTCCTTTCACATACGTTTTAGAACCTTCGTCGTTGTGTTTAGCTGAAGTAGGTAGTGAAGCCACGTTTGTTACACATACGTTTTAGATCTTTCGTCGTTATGTTGAGCTCAAGTAAGTAGTGAAGTTACGTTATTTTCACATACGTTTTAGAACCTTCGTCTTTTTGTTGAGATTAAGTAAGTAGTGAAGCTACGTTCTTTTCACATATGTGTTAGAACCTTCGTCGTTATGTTGAGCTCAAGTAAGTGGTGTAACCACGTTCTTTTTTACATACGTTTTAGAACCTTCGTCGTTATGTTGAGCTCCAATAAGTAGTGAAGCCACATTCTTTACACGTACGTTTTAAAACTATCGTAGTTATGTTTAGCTGAAGTAGGTAGTGAAGCCACGTTTGTTACACATACGTTTTAGATCTTTCGTCGTTATGTTGAGCTCAAGTAAGTAGTGAAGTCACATTATTTTCACATACGTTTTAGAACCTTCGTCTTTTTGTTGAGATTAAGTAAGTACTGAAGCCACGTTCTTTTCACATACGTTTTAGAATTTTCGTCGCTATGTTGAGCTCAAGTAAGTAGTGAAGCCACGTTCTTTTCACATGCGTTTTAGAACTTTCTTCTTTAGGTTGAGATTAAGTAAGTAGTGAAGCTACGTTCTTTTCACATACGTGTTTAGAACCTTCGTCGTTATGTTTAGCTCAAGTAAGTAGTAAGGCCACGTTCTGTACACATACGTTTTAGAACCTTCGTCGTTATGAAAAGAACGTGGCTGCTCTACTTACTTGAGCTGAACATATCAACGAAGGTTCTAAAACGTATGTGTAAAGAATGTGGCTTTACTGTTTACTTGAGCTCTACATAACGACGAAGGATCTAAAACGTATGTGTAAACAACGTGGCTTTACTAATTACTTGAGCTGAACATATCAACGAAGGTTCTAAAACGTGTGTGTAAAGAATGTGGCTTTACTGTTTACTTGAGCTCTAGAGCTCAAGTAAGTAGAGCAGCCACGTTCTTTTTAGAGACGTTTTAGAACCTTCATCGTTATGTTTAGCTCAAGTAAGTAGTGAAGACACGTTCTTTTCACATACGTTTTAGAACCTTCGTCGCTATGTTGAGCTCAAGTAAGTAGTGAAGCCACATTCTTTACACATATGCTTTAGAACCTTCGTCGTTATGTTAGCTCAAGTAAATAGTGGAGCCACGTTCTTTTCACATACGTTTTAGAACCTTCGTTGATATGTTCAGCTCAAGTAAGTAGTGAAGCCACGTTCTTTACACATACATTTTAGAACCTTCGTCGCTATGTTGAGATTAAGTAAGTAGTGAAGCTACGTTCTTTTCACATACGTTTTAGAACCTTCGTCGTTATGTTGAGCTCAAGTAATTAGTAAAGCCACGTTGTTTACACGTACGTTTCAGATCCTTCGTCGTTATGTAGAGCTCAAGTAAATAGTAAAGCGACATTCTTTACACATACGTTTTAGAACCTTCGTTGATATGTTGAGCTCAAGTAAGTAGAGCAGCCACGTTCTTTTTAGAGACGTTTTAGAACCTTCATCGTTATGTTGAGCTCAAGTAAGTAGTAAATCCACATTCTTTAAGGATACGTTTTAGAACCTTCGTCGTTATGTTGAGATCAAGTAAGTAGTGAAGCCACGTTCTTTTCACATACGTTTTAGAACGTTCGTCGCTAGGTTGAGCTCAAGTAAGTAGTGAAGCCACA